CTTTCCCTAATCCCTATATGTCACACCAACCTGATCTCGACTTGATTTCCCTGACTCTGTGTAAATCATTTCCCCCGATCCATGTGTAAATCATTCTAACCCAATTCTAATTTAATTTCCCTTTGTATGCTTTTTACATGTTGAGGAAGTGATAGAGTGACCTTGCCATCGAATTCTGTAAAGTTGCGCTTTTTTACAAATTAATATTAAAATATTTTTGTTTTCTAATATCTTTGGAGATGATTCTTTAAGGGACCAAAACCACTCATTCGTGACACCTCCTTTAAGATATACGTCGTGAGAACATATTTAAACGAGGAAGTTGATGAGTTGATTTCTTACCTGCTCCGTGAGTGACCAGCCAGAAGTCTGACAATGAGCTCTCAGCAGAAGAGATTTGGGATCCTTGGGCTTAAACATTTTCTCTATCAAGTGAGCCCACAGCCGCCTCCCAGCTCTCAGCTTAGCTATTTCCATATAGAAGTTCATTCCAATTCCCCAGAAAAAGGAGAGCCTGTAATAGAAGCACATGAACAGGATAAACCATTAAACCATTCTAATAACACTGTTTCAGAAAAGGAGAAGTCTTACGGCACGGTCTCTGATTAATTTACTTTTACAGATACAAGCCAGACATAAGATGATGTGAAAGTTCCTCGACACTGATGCCAATTACCACAGAATGATACACCTTTATGTCAATAAACTGTCTTAGCCTCCAAACAAGGTGACTGCAGGCAAAGTGCCAGTGCCAATGGTCCCTGGAACTGCTAAACTGTCCCCAGGAAGTGTTTCGGGGGAGCCCTAGGTCAAGCAGTGTTCCAGCAAGTCACTAATACAGACTGTGACACTCCAGTGCCAGGGAATGCTCCTGGACACAATCTACTACTGTAGTTACGCTCACATACTACTTATAACGAGGAGACATTACATATTGTAAGCACACTTTCATCCTTTTCCTGATGATTTTAATCAAAATCCAAATGAAACACCAGTTCAATACTGTATAGTAAATCAGGGAACAGATCTACTTTTTCCTACTTAGAGCTTCCATGATTTATAAATATAAACATGCATAGTTAAAGCCAATAAAACTCATTACACTAAAGATGCACCTTTTTAACACTGAATTTGCCAAAGGCTCTTACAGACTAGGAAGTCTAAAAATAAGGCTGTATGTTTTTCTACATGATCCACTTCGATTTTGCCACAAATCTTGGAAGCAGGTTAATTCAGCTGACTCCTATAGTTTGAATGTGCAACAGGCTATGTGAACCACACCTTTTGTTTTTGAGACACACTGGGAATCTGTAAATCAACTACACCACTGAAACTGTGGTTCTGCTTAGTTTGACAGTAACTATACAAAAATACAATATTCTGCTTAAAATTAAATTTTATTTTTAGGAAATTTGCAACTGTAAATCGAACTACCTGAACTTTGCCTTGTTAAGCATTTTTTCCCAAATATTTCAAAATAATACTAATGAAAAAGAAATTCAATAATACTACAGTATAAAAGAGAGCTCTTGCTGCATTCTGCAGTCCTGAAGCTACAACTGTTTTAGATATAATAGCTTAGGGATCTTCTTTCTGACCCAGAGACAAACGGTCACAACAGACCTTGACAATGCTTGGGCTTGTACATGAGCTTTATTCAGTTTATTAGCATAGATGTAGTCTAAGTGTCTGTTGGACCAGATATATCTTCCTACACTGAAACTGTGTAACAAAACCTATCTGCAATGTGAGCATTACCAATATTGCCTGTCTGTGTAAAAATACGGAATTTGATACTGAACTCTAGAGGTTTTACTGGAAGAGAGTTGTATGCTTGCAAATTTCCTTTAGCTCACCTTGGTGCAAATTCATCAATGGTAAGGCCAGCTTTAAGTCCAGTTCTGCAGTACTCCAAGCCATCTGCTATAGTGTAAGCTAATTCCAGAATGGTGTCAGCTCCTGCCTCTTGCATATGGTACCCACTGATTGAAATGGAATTAAATTTTGGCATATACTGCAAAAATAAAAGACAACAGGGTACAACAGCAGAAGGAGGGATCAGATAATTGTTCCATCAACATTCACAAATAATCCATTCTTTGCAGACTGTGAATATTTGTAGACTGTGAATACAACCCATCTCCACTAAGTGGTGCCTGCAGATGTTTACTTCACGTGCTTTTACCTTTTTGCACTATTCATTGTGCTTAAAACAATCACCCACTGTGGTTATCTTTCTCAGTTACATGCTGTGTGCCCCCTCTGCAATGAAAACACAACTAAGAAAACAACTGGTAATACTGAACTTCCAGTTATCAGCTCAGGACAACCAAGGGATCAGGCCCAGCCA